CACTGTTGGGGCTGGAGAGATGGCTCAATAGTTAAGAGCACTAGCCAGCTGCTCTTGCAGAGGACCTGGGTTCAGTTCCCAACTCCCACATGACAGCTAACAGTCATCTGTAACTCCAGTTCCAGGGTATCTGATACCCTCTTCTGACCTCCATGGGCATTTCAGGACACAGGTGTTTTTATATGCATGCAGGCCAATACACTCATACACATAAAATAAAAATAATAAAATATTTTTAAAAAAGTTATTAGGAACTAAAAGCCCACACTGGATTCCACTTTCTCCATGCACTATAAAATGTGCAAAATTTTATAAGCATAATAATAACAGTGAATTAAGATGAAAAATTAATAGGCCAAATAACTGAAGTCCTTCATTACTCCTGAGAGCTTAGAGAATAACTGTAAAACTAAACTGCCAACATTTGAGGTTTTCAAAATGCCATCTATGAACTAATGTTATAATTACAAATGCAGTATGTTGGGGCTGTAGAGATCGCTCAGCAGCTAAGAACATTGGCTGTTCTTGCAGAGGACCTGGGTTTGGTTCCCAGCACCCACACAGAGGCTAACAATTATCCAAACTCCAGTTCAAGGGGATCTGATGCCCTCTTCTGTGCATGACACAGATGTACTTACATACATGCAGGCAATACACACATATACAAAAAATAAAAATAACAAAATATTAAAAAACAAATACAGCATGTTTAACGTCTGTATTTTTATTGGGGTTTCAGTTTCTTAAAAAAATCATAAATATAACAGTTTTTAATCTTAGAAAATAACATCTACAGCCAAGTAGATGAGTTTCTTGAGTTCTTTAAAGGCCAGTTAGGAGGAGATAATGTTTTCTATTCTTATAAAACTCTGCTTTTCAAAGTAACTTATTTTCAAAAAACAAAGAAGACGAAGAGCATGTTAGCAGCTTCCTTGAATTCCCACATGTCCAGCATGGCCACATGGCCACAGGATCCACAAGAGCACTCACCACTGAATTATTTCTGTGATTTGGGCTTCCCAGTGTGCAACCGATTCTTTCTTCTCTGCTAGATCTTTGACCTCTTCTTCTAAGTGCTGGTTGCGCAAACTTATGTTCTCATACAAAGCAGTGAGCTGAAAGGTAGTTTTAAGACACAAGTGACTTTTAGGATGAGGACTTTGAAATGTCTGATAACTCACAATCTTCCACTACAAAATGACTGTTTATCATTACACACCCTCCTGAAGACTGAAGTTGGTAATAACAAGCACTTTGAATTTTCCTGCTTCCTTTGCTTGAATACCCTAACATGAAATTGGTTCTAATGGTGAATACTTTTCATTTATCCTGAGAATCACCCAGTTCTGCTGGTAATATCCTCCCTTACTCCCTTTAGCTTTTTCTGCAAATGTCATTATGTTGCATTTTAAAATTATAAAGAATTCTAAGCACAAATAAAAAATGGGTAATGTTACTCCCTTTAGCTTTTTCTGCAAATGTCATTATGTTGCATTTTAAAATTATAAAGAATTCTAAGCACAAATAAAAATGGGTAATGTTGACATAAATAGGCTGAAGGAATTCTTGTCCACAAAACCAGCCCTTCAGAGAGTTCTGTGAGCAATACAAAGGGCTGAAGAAAGGAATGACTATACCCAAGGGGTTGCAGAAAGAACTCCAAGGAGA